GGAAAGTAAGATCAAGACGAACCTACGAATAGTACCTCGTCTGGCCCCGCCCGGCGAAGGAGGAACAGAGCTGGGGTCGGGGGTGGGGGGGGGCGGGGTGTGGAGGCGCAGCGCGGGGCGGGGCTCCGGGGGGCGGGGCTCCGGAGGGGCGGGGCTGTCATTGGGAAATCGGGCCGCCCCTTACCGATGTGTCTCCGCGTCAGCTCCACCGCCGCGTTCCTGTTGACGTTGGAGAGCAGCCCCAGGCAGAAGCGCTCCGAGTTCGAGGGGTCGGTGAAGCCGTCCACCGTCATGGACGGCTGCGAGGCGTGGAATGTCTCCCCGACGCGCTGGTTCAGCTCATAGTAGGAGATGGAGCACCAGAAGGCCGGCTCGCAGTAGGTCACGGGCTGCAGGTCTGAGGAGACGGGCCGGGCTGCTGGGTCAGTGGGGCCCCCACGCCCTGTGCTCCCGATGGGGCCCCCTGGATGCTCCTCACCTCTCAGAAGACATGTTACTCCCCCCGACACACACACACACCATGCCTTTTACTGTATAAAACTCGCAGTGGGACAGAATACTTGGGTGTTTTGAGAAGCATTCCACCGGCCTTGGCACTTCTCATTTCGTTTTAGCCCACAAAGGCCCTGCCCCTCCTGGCCTGGCCGTGAGTTGAAGCTGTCCTTCAGGGAGGTGCTGGGCCAAACTCAGAAGGCCCAGGGACCAACCAGCCCCTGGGGCGTTTAAACGCCACCGCACAGGCCGGGTGTGCTGACTGCGGTCCGGCCAGGCCACCTCTCTCTCTTCCAGGGTCCCCGGAGTAACTCATGCTGACCTCTGGGCCCCAGGAAGGCCTGTAGCTTTGGCTTGGCCTTGCTGTGGGCTGACTCCTAAACTGTGGAGCCACAGGGCCCAAGCCCGTGAAATGACAAGGCTGGTGCAGCCCGGGGAGTCCGCGCAGCACTCGCCACCTGTAACCACACAGGCACCAGGTGCTGTCTGCAGAGTGAAGCCGATCTCGGCCTCTGATTACAGAAACTGTCCTCCAAATGTATCAGATGCCATCTGTCAGGGTGGCTAAGACACAAACTCACCTAAAAGAAACTGAATTGATTCGAGTTGTCAGTCTGTAGTCTCAATTTCAATCAAGGGCTCCTCAGAGCAAAACTGCCATCCTGGGATGGGGTGGTTCTTTCTCTCAGAAGAGTTGGGAACCCCTGAGATACAGGGTCCCCTCATAGGACCCCACATCACCTTTCCTGTGACTCCCGAGCCCTCCTGACCTCCAGCCATTCCGGGCTCCACACCTGCCAGGGTACCCCTGCCCTCCTCTGGCCGGTCTCTACATCGTGTCTCACCTCAGGGTCCATCCTCCCAGCCCTGGCCAGGCCCTTGTCATTCCTCACTCGCACCAGTGCCACGGCACTCTGACAGGCGTCCCCAGCACTCCTGACCTGCCCTTCCAGCTCCTTCTCTGCACCGCACTGCTCCCTGGGCCACGTCCTGCTCTCTGCCTACTTGAATTCCACCGTTTCTTCAGGAATCAGGGAGTCTGCTGCTCTCCCTCCTCCATCTCAGAGCTCCGGGCTAGATCACTCACTCCAGCTCTTCCACATACGTGGAGCCGCCTGCTTACTTAGGGCACATCTTTGTGGGAGCTGATGAGAGGGACAGGAGGGGCTCGCCGTGCCAAGTCCCAGCACTGGCCCGAGACCTCTGCTCACCGCCTGCCAGGCAACTTCCCAGAGTGAGAACCCATAGGAACCTCTGCCAAGCTCACCAGACCTTTGAAAGTGGGAACAGGCCAGGAGAGAAAAAAAATCAGAAGTTGTTCCAAGAAGAGCCTGGGTCCCCTTCAGGGCAAAGAGGCCCTGATCTCCTTTTCGGGTCTATGCCCACGATCCTGTCTAAAGGTACAGAGAAGGTGAGCACGCTCGGGAGGAGCTGCAGACCACTGACATCCCTGCACTGAGTCAGCTGGAGGGTGAGGACACCTAGATCCATTTCCTCAAGCTTGGCATTATTGAGATTTGGAACCAGATAATTCTCTGTTGCGGGGGGCAGTTCTGCGCATTCTAAGATGTGCAGCGGCAGCCCTGGCCTCCACCTACTAGACACAGCAGCACATATCCATCTCACCCTCCCAAGCTGTGACAGTAAGAAAGGTCTCCAGACATTGTGAGAGGGCTTCTAGGGGGCAAGGAGCCCCCCGTTGACAGTCACTGCCCTAGATGTCCAACTAGGTCATGGAGCACGAGCTTCAAGGCCAGATGGACCAGAGTTCACCCTCCGCTCAGACGCGGACCAGCTGTGTGCCGGTAAGCAAACCAGTTAATCTCTGAGTTTCAACGTCCACGTCTGCCCCAGCCACCCAAGTGCAGAAGCTGTTTGTGGATGGACTGGGATGATTCAAACGGAGTGCAGGGCATGCATCAAGCACTTAATAAATGGTGTGAACACGAATTATCATCATTTTGGTTATATGAACTGAAGAACAGCCTGTTCCTATCCTGACCTCCACTGAAAGTAGGGCAAAGCACCCTTGCCCCCCTCCCCTCTTGCCAGGGTGCAGCAAGGGAAGAGGAGGGAAGGCAGGGGGTCCGAGTGACTTAATGGGGATGGAGGTGCAATGGGGCAGAAGCAGCCGCGGCTGGGTTGAGCCACGTCAGCCACATCCGGCTCTGGCTTTGCTCGATGCTCAACATTCCAATGAGATAAGCTATATTCTAAACAATGTGGTCACTAAAATGTGAGCTATGTTGCTTGGAAACCTTAAACAAGCACCACCACCACCTATGAAGTCCAAGTGCACTCCAAGCCTTCAAGGTGGTCGGGCAGCGCGTCAGGCCCAGGAGGGACCAGGGAAGGACTGCGGGCCCCCACTGCCCGGGGCCAGGCTCTGCTGTGCCACCTTAGGGACATGACCTCCCTCTCTAGCCTCAGTGTCCCAGTCTGAACAGTGACTGCAGCGGCCTGGAAGCCATCGAAAGCAGACCATGTAGGTCATGGTGTTTCTGGCACGGGTCACCCTGAAGAGGCAGCCGTGGCTGATCTGGACCAGCCTTGGCTTCCCCAGCAAACTGCAGAACAGGGCAGAGTCCTCATCCCCAAATTATAAAGCCTTGTCCAACACCTGGGCCTGGTCCAGGCTGAAGAGAGAGAGGTACCCTCCTAGGTAATGAAAAGCCAGCAGGTCACCCATTGGGTAACATGGGGCCAAAATTGCGTTCTGAGTAAGTACGGGCTTTGAGGTGTCTCAGAATCAGAGAGAGGCTCGGGGTCCCAGCCCAAGAGGCCCTCCCAAGCAGATCTGAGCCCTTATCTAAACATCCCTGCAACTCGCAGACACGCACAGGACAGTGTTGTGGAAAACACAGGACACAGGATCCTGACACATAATTAAGAAGATGCTAGTTTGGGATGCAGGGCACTCAGGCCCAGGCCAAGTCTGAAGGCTGCCATTTCAGAAGAGTGCTGTTTGGACGAGTTGACCTATGTTCAGAAGCAGGATTGAACCAGAACAGCGCCCCAGCCCTGCACTTACTGTCATCTGCAAACAACTGAAAGTCGGCCTGCCTTTCATCTCTCTCCCTCCCATCACCCTCAGTGCTCCCTCCAGGCATTTCTGCAAGAGGAGCTGCAGACCAAAGTATGATCACCACTGCTGGGTTCTGCCTTGGACAGCACTTTGTTTTTAAACTGCACATATGCCCTCATTTCTTTCCTACCAAAGGACTTATCCACACCATGGTTCAGTACAAGAGAAAGAAAAAGTCAGGATCCTGGAAAAGAGAAGACTATGAAGAGGCTAATCATGAATTTATAGCTACTGAAAGAGCACTCAGCTTGGCTCTGAGCTTCCTAGCAGACAAGGCAAAAAGGGTGCATAATTTGCTACATGACTCTGGTTGGTGAACAGATCCTTCTTACTAGTTCTGCAAGGGAAATAAAGCTTGTCTTGGACACTAAATCTTAGAAGAAATCTGTCAGGTGGCTCTCCTCCCCCACATCAATCAATCCAGCCAGCCAAGCAGGCCTGGTTTCAAGAGCTCCCCAACAAATGCAGAAGCAGTTTTACAGAAGGTGGCTTTTTTGGGGGGAAAAAACCTGAACATACGCCACTGACGGGCTCCTCTGGGAGGATGACTCAACAGGGGTAAGGTGACGTGCCCCAGTGGAAAGCGGTTTCACTTTTCCAGGCCAAGGACTAGGCACACCTGGAGTGGCAGCCCATGGCGCATTCCCAAGGCCGTCCCTTGAGACAGCTCTGCTCCCACCGGACTGCTGTGTCTGTGCTAACCTCTCTTCCTGCAGCAGACATATTGGAGACACAGGAACCTCCCCAACTCCACCCGTTCTCGGCCCCCTACCCCCACCGGTGCAGTGTCAGCCAGACTCCTTCAGTGGCATGGGGCACCTCGTTCACACCTGGCCTCCTGCCAGCCCAACGCATGGGCTGGCTTCAGTTCTAAGTCCGATTCCAAGTTGGCATAGACTTTCTGTTTTGTTTAAGGAAAAGAAAACAGAATAAAACCCAGAAGGCAACACTTGGATTAAGGGATGCCTATTAAAAACATGTGCAAGAGATCCAAATCCGGTAAAGGAAAGGGGGGAGGCGGAGGGGGAAATTAACTTTCTGCCATATATTGAAAGCAGGGAGCAGGCCAAGGCCAGGAGCACAGACACCGCGAAGCTCAAGGTCAGAACACAAACGGACTGCCTTGGCCCTGCTCACCTGAGGAAGGCAGCTCTGTCCAGGAGACGCCACAGCCCAGTCCCCACGTGTCTTCGCGCCGCTGTGTCTCAGCCCTCCCTGTTCCCTCTGCTTGGACTGCCTGTCACCCTGATCTGCGGGGACTCAACCTTCCAGGCCCAGCTCAGGTGGCCGTGAGAGCATCCCCCCACCCTGGTGTCTGAGTCACCTGTGGACCTGAGGGTGAGTCAGGCCAGCCGGGTCCCAGCAGCCTTGCACCAGCTCAACCTGTCACGAGGATTAGGCAGCAAACCAATTCATACACAGAAAGGAACCCAGGCCCTTTCAACCGAGGACGGGTTTACCAAGACCAAGATCAGTGGAAAAGGAAAAATCTAGGAGCCGGAGGGACCCTCGGGAGCGTGATGGTACAGCCGGCCGCCGACTTCCTGCCATGAAGACGCCTGCCCGTGGTGTTCCAAGCTTATGGAAGATTAGAGCCTGAAGAGGCCTCAGGAAAAGCCTTGTGCAGCAGCCCGAGACACTTGGGATCGGGTCGGGCCTGTAACGTGGACCCCCGCCCTCTCTCAGGGACCAGGGGTCCTCCCACTACCCTGCCACCGGGGCGCCGTCTCCTGGCAGGAGGGGAAGGCAGCCCCAGGCCAAGGCCCTCTGGGAAGCCATCACCTCCGTTAGCTCAGCTCAGCCGCTGCCGCAGGACACTCCCTAGTACCTCATTTCCCCCCGTCCAGGCCCCCGCCCCGAGCTGTCTCACCTTCAAGCAGGCAACAGCTTACTCACTGGCAGGATCTGGATCATTATCTTTCTCCTCTCTCCCCACCTCCCTCGCTCTCCCCTCTCCGGTTACCCCAATCCTCGATTTAAATGCTGAGGAAATTCCAGGTGACTCATCCAGCACAATGTGTAATAACAGGAACATCACCTGCTCACATCCCTTCCCTGCAAAACAAAGCCCCAGGGTTGCCCGGAGCCCGCCGCTGCCACGCAGCTGAGCTGGGGCTCAGTCACCAGTCGGGCTCCTCCACGGGGCACCCCAAGCGGCTCTGCTGCGGCAGGAGGCTCCACCTTTTACCTGGAGTGGGGAAGAAATGAAGCAGGAGCCAGATGTCCTATGCTTGCTTTCTTTTGTATAATAATTTCTCGACAAGAAATAATAGATGCCCGGAGATGCCCCGTCTTTCTCCAGGGAGAACTCTCCGTGTGCCAGTCAGCATCCTACCGTTTGGGACATACTGGCCACAAAGAAGAAAGGCAGAGGCGGCTGCTGCGGGCTGCCCAGACTCCCCCACCTTTTATTTGTCCTTCAGCCCCCACCTCCCCCGAAACTTGCTCCCCAAAGGATGCCTGACATGAGGAGTTCTCTCCTGACGCCGCATCTCCGCAGAACCTGCCCCCTGCATCCTTCAGCACCTCCCTCCACTCTGGAAGTTGCGGGGTGGATGGACACGCAGGAGACGCTGGCCAGCCTGGACGAGGTCCCCACTGCGATGCCACCATGCCCTCCTCTGAATGCTCAGGGGACTTCGTCTGCACCTACCTCTTATTTTATAATTATTTATAGTCCTGTCTTATTCATCCCAACCAGGCCAAAAGCTCCTTGAAGACAGGATCAGTGACTCCTCTTGGATTCCCACTGGGACTGGCAGACAAGGGGCAGCCAGGAAGTGCCTGGGGATGAGTGAGTGAGGAAGACACGGGCAGGGCCCCCACCCCACCCAGGGACCTCATGGGACACCAGGGCCCTCCACCTGACATTTGCTCCCAAGTTCATCTAAGTTCGTAAGTGCCTCCTTGAGCCTCGTTCTTCTGAGTGAGAAAGGGGAGAGCTGGTCTGAGGGACCCAGCAAGGCAGGTCCTGCTGCACCTGGGGACTGTTCTGGATCCCTCAGGCCTGAGTTCAAAGCCAGCTTCTCCATTTGCCAGCTGTGTGAATGGGGCAAGTTTGCTAACCAGTCTGCCCCTTGGTTTCCTCTCCTGCAAAATAAAAATTTACAGTACCGCTGCTCCTACAGTCATTATGGGGATTCAATTAACAAGCACGAAGCACTCTGAAAACACTCAGTGAGTAGTAACGTCTCAAGAAAGTCTGACACCCTCATCACCATCCTCTCACCCCCTTCCAGCTATGGTGCCAGAGGCTATGGGCCTGACCACGTGGGTCCCTACCAGTAGTTTTGAGTGGGTGAAGGTGTGGGTCAAGGGCCCAGAGAGGAAGCAGCTGTCAGTGCCCGTGTCTCAGCACGAGTCCTAACCTGACTCGTCAGCTGACTCGTCCCCCTATTCACATCTTCCCAGCACAGCGGCACCCCCGCTCTGCCCTCCAGGCTTCCTTTGGAAGAAATGGCTTAAGAAATCCGGACTCTCAGGCAAGGGGCTGAGGAACTGGGCAGCCTGGGAGGGGGTGGGCAGGGAGCTGGGGCAGCAGGCCGTTGTGCCTTGGGGCCAAGTTCAAGAGCATAGCTGTCACCCTCGTCCACACAATCTAGAGGCGAATCCACACAGGGGACCACTTCCAGTCTGAACCACCGCATCAGGCAGTCAGGTGGCCAAGTCAAGCACCAGCCCTGAGGTCTGTCAACAGAAAGGGCAGTGGTGGCCACGGGGGCGCGAGGGGGTTCACCCTCCATTGCTGAAAGCCCAGAGGCAAGTTCACAGTCATGGCCTTTAAGTTCTCAAGGGTTAAGGCAGCTTCCAGCCTGCAGAGTTTGTGTTTAGTAACTCCTTTAGCCCCTTCACATTGAGAATGCGACCGTCCCTCTGCAAAGCCCAACACGCACAGTGATATTATTTTACAAAGATGTTAAAACCGATCCCCCAACGTCCCATTTCCCACTGCCCACTTGTCAGCCTGTATTAAAAGGTTTTCAAGCAGCTCCCCGTGTTCCAAATGATGACCTTCTTCATCTGATGCTATCAGTCAAGGACTGGGAACAACTGAGAACAACAGGGAACAAAAGCCAGACCGATCCACTTGGATTCACCAAGCTTGGGTATTAACTCTTTCTTTTCTGGAGCCACTCATTAAGCCCCGGTACAAACTGAAACAAAGTCAAACTCCCAGTTTCCTAAAACTACCAGAATGACACAGAAAAAAATTCTCCTCAATAAAAGCTGAGCAAGTATTTCATTTGTTTTGAGTCCTCCGCAGGCCCTGCCCTGGAGGTGAAGGACACTCGTGGATTAGAAAAGCAAGTCTCAGAAAAATGACTCAGAAGTCCAACAACCGAGGGAAGGTTCTGGAAGGGATGGCCCAGCTGCTCCAAAACGTCAGGAGACGATGCGAGATGATCAAGGAGCCATCCCAGTATGGAAATGTGTTTACAAAATAACAAAGAGGGGAAAAAAAGGAGGGGAAAATGGATATGCACTGTGATCTCAATGGCAAAGCACAAACACATATGGCCTAAACCCACCCACATCAGAAGGACCATGAAAAAACGAAAGCAGTTGTGTTAGGGTAGGAAGACACTGGGAAATTCACTTTTTTTTTTCAAATTTCTTTTACGGTGCTGTTTCAAATAAAAATGACATCACTGTCAGCTGATAAAATCCAAGTAGGTGTATGTGAAACAAGGCCCCGAAAGCCGGGGGCTGCAGTCTGCCCACTGTTCATGGCTTTGCATCAAACCACACAAGGATGCTCGCCAACCACAGACCCTGTCTCTCTCGAGCACAAGGTTGGGGCTTTTCATTCACTCATGTCTAACCGCCCCCCAGGGGAAATACAGACCCACACGCAGCTGCCTTTCCTGCCACCACTGTTCCCGAGTGTCCCTTTCTGTGGGTGACCCCAGAAGCACTGTAGCCAGAAACCTGATGGGCTGTGCTGGGTGCGGGTCAGGGGGAGCCTCACCCTCAGGCCCCCCCAACACCGGCCACCAGCCAGGGCTGCAGCTAAAGGGGGTTCGAGTCGTACAGACAAGGAGCTACTTACCCAAGTTATTGTGTGCCGGGGACATCGGATTCGGGGAGAGGTTTGGAGAACCTGTGGGATGGGATACAGTGGTGAGACTTCAGGAAATACCCCTGGCCTGGGGAGCCAGGTGACGGCAGGCTTGCATCAGGAAAGCCCCGGGCTGAGCCCTCAAGGCCCAGGAGAAGGCCGAACCCCGAATCCTCGCCTGGGCTTTCCCTTCCCCGGGTGCCGGCTTCCTCATCGGCAGAGTAGATGGGCAAGTGGCTGCCCTCGGGCTCTCTGCCACCACCTGATGGTCTGATGCTTCTAACCACGCCTGCAGCACAGGGCTTTTGTGTTCCCAGGCAGGGTACACCGACCCCACACTGACCCGCCCCGTGAGCCAAAGCCCCAGAGGAATAAAAGGCGCTGGGAGGACCCCCTCCCCAGCTGCTTGAAGATCCAGGCGGCGAAGGTGGGCTTGAAGCCACCCAGACGTCACCGTCCAGCCCTCTGCGACTCCGGCATCTGCAAATACCAATGCAATCCTTTCCGCGGGTTTCAGGAAACTCACCAAGCGGCCTCAGAAAGCCCACAGCTCAGCAACCAGACTGAGATTTTACGTAAGACATGAAGACTCTCCAAGTCTTTCTTCTCTACTCCCTTCACTCTAGCCCTTACTCCCAGAGGAAATTAAAAACACACGTGGTATCAGCCTTCCAGAAAACCAAGGGACTGCTGTTCCACGGAGCGACACTGGGCTGGTCCCTCCTTTGTCCCTGCACCCACGGGGCTCCGGAGGTTCTTTACTGACTGGCAGCCGGCTCCGCCCCTGAAATTCACAGCCCTCCCCTCCAGCACATGCTGCCGCGAGCTGTTACTGGGGGTCTTCCTGCTCCCCGCTCATCTGGAACCTCCTCGAGGGCCAGGCAGGAACCACGGGGTTTCTCCTGCACCCAGTCTTTTGGGGGGTGTGGGTGAGTCACAGAAGCAGCAGAGGGTCTGACCAGGGGTCTGACCACGCTACCACGCATCAGCCACGGGGTTTGGCAAAGTGGTTCAACCTCCCTGAGCCTTGTTCCCCCCCCCTCGTCAGGTGTCACACAGGGATGACACCCTCTACCGTGTCGTCTGTGGGAACGAAGTGAGACGGCGTGGATAAAAATGCCCACACCGTGACCGGTGCTAGCTGGCACGCAGGCAGGACTGACCCGAATCGTGGAGACCCAGGAAGGCAAGGGACCTTCTCACTGGTCTGAAAGGGCACAGATGCGTGTTAGGGGAGACACAAGGCTGGACAAAGTGATCCTCGGGCCCACACTGAGAGGCTACCACAGCTCAGCTGGCAGGGCAGCCAAGCTCACAGGCAACCGATCTGTGCTGAGAGGAGAGCAGAGAATAAACAGGGGCCCCCACTCCTCTCACCTACAGGCTGGATGGGGTCTACATGGTCCAGGGCCCGCTTTCGAGAAATCCTTAATGTTCCCAACAGGGCCCTGCAGGTACACTTAGGGGAAGAGAGGAGGACGGGAGAGACAGAGAAGTTGGAGCAGAAAGGAGGGAGGGGAAGGGGAAGAAACAAGAGCGCTGAGGGTGGAAAGGCGGCCGCTCATCCCACAGACACACCGCCTCCGGCCGTCTGCTTGCTTTACAACAGCACAGACCTTGTGTTACTGCACACCTCACTGTATCCTGCTCTGCAGGTGCTGCGTTATTATTATTATTATTATTATTATTATTTTACAGATTGAAGGTTTGTGGTAACACCCTGTGTCGAGCGAGCCTATCAGCACCCCTTTCCCCAAAGCATTCGCTCGCTTTGTGCCTGTGTCCCATTCTGATAATATTCACAATATCCCTTTTTCATGATTATTATACTCGCTATGGTGATCTATGATCTTTGCCGTTACTATTGGCAAAAAGTACAATTGCTGAAGGCCCAGATGATGGTCAACCTTTCTTAGCAATCAAGTATTTTTTTTTAATTGGGGGTACTGGGGATTAATTTCTCCTGGTTTCTCTTCTCTTTATTTACTTTATTCTCCTTCTTGGGATGGCGAGGTAATTAGGTTTATTTACTTATTTTTTAATGGAGGTACCAGGGACTG